TTTTATCATAATTTTTATCATAATTTTTATCATAATTTTTATCATAATTTTTATCATAATTTTTATCATAATTTTTAACAATAATAAAATTTATTAATTGAAATTTCTTTTTATAGTCGTATAGAAAAGTAATGTTGAGTATTCCATCATATCGTGATATTTATGCACCAAAAGGAAAATTACTGACCGAAGGAGATATAGTATATCGGCTTAATTATTCAAACACTTTGGAGGCTATTTCCAATAACTATACCGAATTTTACGAAGTAAATATTATATCCCTGGTGGTTTAATTATATTGTGTTTAAATATATACAAATATACATAATATATATATAAATATATAAATTTAGGGTTATATTGCAAAATCATTGGTCAAAGAAATTAATGCTCAAGGTGGAAATATGACTTTTGAAGATTTTGTTGATTATCGCCCTATAGTTCGTGAACCTATAATTGGATCTTATCATGGACGAAAAGTGGGTTATAGTTTTTATATAGTCTTGCGTATATTCTAGATTTTTGTACAGTAAATTTTATATATAATATTTATAATATTTCCTTATTATAGATAATAACACCACCAGAACCTACGAGTGGGGCTGCATTAATATTCATGTTGAATTTGTTGGAAGGATATAACATGTCTCAAAAAGGGCTTGATGGCCTTAATCTACAAAGGTGATTATTTGTATATTTATTGTCATTTTATGTTTTTTTTATCAACTTTTTTTATAATTCTTTTTTTTTTTTTTTTTTGTACGCTCAGAATTGTTGAAACGTTAAAATGTAAATTTTTCTTTTTTTTTATATCAAAAAAGACTGCAAGTTGTTATTCAAGCAATGATATAATGACATTATAAACTTTTCTTATATAGTTGGTTTTGCCCGCCGTACTGAAATGGCTGATCCCGCCTTTGTAAGTTTATTAACTGAATAATTGACTAAATTTTTATTTGAATTTGATTAAATTTTTATTTGAATTTGAATCATGATTTACATAAATTTCCATTATATCATTCATTTGGAAATATAGTTCAAAAATCCAAAAGAACACAACGAGCGCATAGAAGAAATTATTTCTAAAGAATTTGCTGCACGTGTACGGCATAATGTTTCAGAGGTGAGAACTTTAGTATACGTTTTTAATGAAATAGTATATGATTAATTCAATATCAATATTTATATTCTCATAGACTCGTACCTATAAACCAAACTATTATGATCCAATCTTTGATTTTGGTGAAGATCATGGAACAACTCACATTTCTGTTATTGATGTTAATAATATGGCGGTGTCCTTTACTTCTACGGTAATTATTGTTTGTTATTCCTTATTTTTTCTCTTTTTCCTAATTATTACCTAATTATTATCATTACAAATATTTTAATAGGTCAATCAAATTTGGGGAGCACGTGTTTTAGATAGTAATACAGGGGTAATTCTTAATAACGAAATGAATGATTTCGCAGTTCCCGGAGAACCAAATATTTTTGGATTATGGCCTTCACCATATAATTTTGTTGGTAAGTCATTTTCATATGCTGGTGGTGTTCCGAACGGACAGATCCGAAATAAGAATAGTAAAAAAATGGATAATAGATGAATTAAAAGCTTCGGATTTAGGTTTATCCATAATCCGATCCGACCCGAGCTGCTTGGAACACAATCATACTAATTTAAGTATAGTTGTCGGTAAAATTACTTCATATGTCATTGCTGCAATTTATACGGAATTGTCCTTATTTTATTGCATTACATAATCAATACGTATGGGTAATTATTGTTGAACCCGGACCAATTTTATATTTATGATGTAATAACATTTTGGTCTGGATTCCACCATACTACGATAATTCAAAAAATGTAGAATGTCGTAAATTTACCGCCAACTATAATTTGAAGTAAAATGTGAACTTTACTAAAAATGGTTTTATTTAGCACCTGGAAAGAGGCCTCTGTCATCGACAGTTCCAACAATAGTTGAAAATGAAGATGGAGAATTGGAATTAGTAATTGGTGGTAGTGGTGGTACAAGAATTCTTACCGCAGTCTTGCAGGTAATTTAAAATAAATTATTTAATTTATACTGTATACATATTTAATGTAAAATTTTTACTGTAAAATTTTATAGGTGCTGACAAATGTATATGATTTTGATATGGACATTTTATCTGCTATTAATGCACCTAGAGTTCACCAACAACTATTACCAGATGTGGTAAATATTTGCTCGGTTAATTTATCTTCTTCGTGTTATTGGAATTTTATTAATTTATAATTTTAAAAATTAGTTGGAAATGGAATCTGGGGTCGATTATGAACTGATTAATCACTTGTTGAATATTGGACATATCGTAAGTGTTTTTTTCATAAAATTGTTTTTTTTTTTATTTTCTTTCTAAATTTTAATATGTAATATATATATCTATTTTTTTATAGATACAATTACATAATATTCATGATAGAAGATATGCAGGTGTAGTTCAAATCGTTAGAAAGTTTAAAAACGGAACTATTCACGGTAAGTAAACAAATTAAAAAAAAAAAAAAATGGTTTTTGATTTCATCGAGAAATAAAATTTCAAATTAACTCAATTTTTTCATAAAACGTGTAATAGCTGCAAGCGATTTTAGGAAAACTGGATTAGCAGCTGGATACTAAATTAATTTATTATGTTATTAATGTTATTGGGCTTTATGTCCTAACAATATTTACTAAGAAAAAATATTTTTGTCATAATAAGCAGTTTTGGTGTAAGGTGAAGTTTGAAAAAGAGGATTTTAATAATTTTAATAAAAAAAAAAAAGACTATTTTAACACTTTTATATCAATAGACATGCTATTTGATTAGCAATAGCAAATGACAACAACGAACTTTTTGTATAGAATTTTTTTTTTTTACTTTGATGAATAATTATTTTGTTAATAAATAGAAATGTGATTATTCTACTGCAGATATTTAGATTATATAAAATGGAACCTTTCGTAGATTCATGAATGTCAGTAAAAAAAAAACCAACAAAAGCTGGCAGATATTTAGATTATATAAAATGAGACCTTTCGTAGATTCATGAATATGTCAGTAAAAAAACAAAAGTTGGCAGATATTTAGATTATATAAAATGAAACCTTTCGTAGATTCATGAATATGTCAGCAAAAAAAAAAAAACAAAAGTCGGAAAGCTAGTACAGTACATGTAACGCGTAATATAACGTGTTTGTCAGTCAAAACGCGCTGTAATTCGATAAATTATGATTATTATATCAAGGTCATGTTAGAAACTTGAAAGTGCCCGTGTTGTGCGCATCGACACTTTGCCAAAACCTATACATATTCGAATTCGGAACAATATCTACATAATGTTAATACGTATCGATACGTGTAGTTAATATTGAATGATTCTAATTTATTAATTTATCGAAAATTTGTTTGTCAATCCTACTCAACATCAGTTTTAGCTAGGGTTCGGGGCACAGGGGCATGGGGCATGCCCATGGGCATGCCATATGGCCAAAGGCATGCCCATACTTAACCCCAACCTAACCCTAACCCTAACCTATAGAAACCTTAACTTACAAAAAATACTATATTATAGTCCATAAACTTTTATTCTGATTAGCCAATTCAATACCATGGTTAGGTTATGTATTGAGCTTTGAAATATGCTCTCGTGTAGTGTTCTAAGCTGACCAAGTTAGCTGCTTAGCCAGCCACCTAGCCGTTTAGCTGGCTAATAGGTTCATTAGCCGGCTAACTTTTAACCTATATTGAGTACCCATATGTTAAAAAAATTTTGAACTGAAGATCACTTTCGACACTGAAATTCTTGGTTCGAATCTAATAAATTATAGTTATTGTATGGATATGTGTGTGTAAGTTAGTTACACACCGGTTCATATGAAAGCACGTGGCCGAAGGCCACGTGATTGAATATGAATCGGTTACACATACATATCCATATAATAACTATATTATCGTATGGGTCTGACGTAACAACCCGTGCGTCACTTAACAACAATAATAATTAAATTATAAAAAAAACTTTTGTATTGAATAAACCTTCGCTGCCCAACAATTGCAATTTAAAATAAAACACTAATAAATTACAATATTACAAAAAACAACCAACTAATAGCATAGCGGGCTTTCTCTGTGATTGGCTATTTTTTTGCAGATCATTTTGTGGGTGCACGTGCAATTTCGTCCAATC